CAACATCAACACAAAACCAATAGCCTACTACCAGGTCCAAATTAAACTCAAGGCCATTACTATCCAAACAATTTCACCATTCATAACTCAAGCCAATTCACTGAGCTCATTAACTCGGGCCTCCTGACCATTACATGTCGTCTGCAGCACCATCAGTTCCGCCACCATTATCACCATCATCCATCACGTAGCCAAGAACACCATGAACACCCTTGCACACCAACGAAACTCCAGCAAAAAGAAGACCGAGACCAGAATAAGAAGAGTAGCCAACCAAAAACACACCGCAAGTCCACCAAATGTAGAAGCAACAGAACCAAGCTATCCTATTCATTCACCTCAAAATTTCAGCAGTTATTCGACCATATTGATGTTGAATAGGCTTTATACGTCGAGCACCATCCTTTTCCTCAGGTGAGGCTTCCTGTCGAGGCTTTACAGTAGCGTCTTGATTCTCATTATTTTGTAATATTCAGTGAAATACATCCATAGAAACAGAATTCTAGTGCGATTTACTTATTTCTTTATCCTCATCATTCCCAATGAACAAGTCATATATACCCAAATCACTATCATCGCCACTCAAAACTTCTACAGTCTCAAAAAACTCGGGGAACTTCAAGTAGATAGTCAAGTATAATGCAACAATACCCAACAAAAAATATGATAATTGAACCTCCTTGCACTTGGATACTCGTCTTTTAATCTCTTCATCTTTAGAAACTAAACAAACAGATAAAAGACCTTTTCTGACTGTATAGCCAGATGTCTCACCAAATCTCTTTCTCACACACACCATAACCATAAAACTAAGGACATATCCAACAAAGAAACACAAAATTAACAGAACCTTCAGATTTAACTTCCAAAAGTCATTGGATTCCAAAAATTGGCCGGGCGACCAGCGCAAGGCTGTCTGTCGGAAATAAAATTTAAAAGTTAATTTATTTAGGATCGAAACAACTCTGATACCATGTTAAATAATTCAAAGAAATAAAGAAAATGAAAAAGGAGGCTAGAGTTTCATTAATTCTGCATAATGTAATTAAATACAAAAGAATGATTTAACTTAAAAACAAAGAGACTGTATATAGACTAAATAAAGAAAATTGAAAATATTATTCTATCCTTAATAAATAATAAAATAAAATAACCCTATATTCTTAACATCCTGGACCTTCAAAACTATTGGTTGTGAGGAATTAGTTGCTGTCCCCTTCTAGGTGTTCATAATTTTTAACCGGTTTTTGTTTGAGAAGATGGAGAAGAGGTTTTATTGTTGACTACACTGACGAGATGTAGTGTAGCTATTTTCACAATCAACACTCTTGTCGAAAAAGTTACTCAATCAAGTTGATTCAAGTACGAAATGTACACACATATTTTATTCGTTTCTTCTATCCAAGTCCTTTCATGTTTTTGTATTGCGATTCAAAACCTCGTAAATCAAATTCCATAAATCCATTTTTCAACTTTATTTATGAATAGTCCAAATATTGTACTAAAAATGCAATTTCCTCAATTAAATTCTTAATTAAGTTTAAGGCCCTGTTTGGTACACATTATTTTTTTCATTCTTATTCTTCTACTCTTTTTCAACCACACATTTTTCAATAAAATAATATTTTCCATCACATCAATAACTTTTCCTTCATTTTTAACCACACATTCTTCATC